GAATTTCTAATTATCTGTTATAATAAGATAGTGGATTTGGTCTGCCATCTAGTGATTAAAACTGAATTCTTAGAACTACATTTAAAAGCACATAAAAGCTTTATGAGAAGACACATCTACACAGGACATTTGAGTTACTCTGGAATAAAATGTGGTCAGATAAAATACATCTTGTCTGTCTAAGATATCAGTGCCAGGACGTTTGTGGTAATGACTTCACAATGGACTAGTTCAATTTGTTGGAATATGATAAGGGTAAAAGAACCCTGCAGCTTGGAAGACAAAATTTTTGGAAGTTGAGACACCACAGAAGATCACAAAATAATGGCGATATTATCAGACATCTACCAATCCTCCTCAATTTTAAGAACGATAAAGAAACATAAATAGCAAACTACAAGTGTCACAATATTGCAGTTTGGGAATGTTTCTTTCAGATTTTATTTTAAAAAAATTGTTTACCCATGTACTTTAAGACCAGTAACTGTTTAAGTTCTAGGCCTTAAATCAAGGTTCATGTTAACTTGGGTTAATTTTTATGATTTCTGTAGAGGAATCAGGACAGTACTGAACCTCTCAGAATGTCATATGAACATTTCTATTTGTTTTTTTATAATATTGTCATTTATAAAATAATTGTGTCATGACAACTTCACTGCAAATTGTCTACAATTTTGCTTTCTATTTTACTTTTCTTCTCATTGAAGTAAACATCTATGGAGAAAACAGCAGGGCCAACCTAATCATCAGGCCCACAACTACCATGTACAAACCCGAGAACGGCAAGCCACCCTGTATTTTCTACTCGGTGTTTCTTTGTACATGTCTTTCATTCAGACATGAACAATGAGAGTTCACTGAGTTTTTGTGCCCTCTGTAATGTGTGTGGATTCTTGTGCGGGGGAAGAGAAGACAGGGTTTAGCAGCAAATGTGGTTTTTCATCTCCTTGCCATTTAAAAGTATTCCAACTAACTTCCCACATCATCTTAAATTTAATTATAAATTCTCAGGGGAAAAGGACCAGTGATGACTCAGAGTATATAACTAGCTTTTAACATTGTCATTTAAAGAAAGTCATACAGTGGCTTACTTCTTTGCCCCTTGGGTTGAGGTCATGCTGTCTTAAACTTCCAGGAAAAAAGTGACCTTCTATGAGTTAACACAAAAGAGAGGATGTGTCTTTTTATTCTAACCCCAAAGGAGCCACAGAGAACGGGATAACTCACCCCAAAGAGTCTCTCACACATTTTAATGATATTTAATTGACATTATTGCACGGCATCTTGATTTTTGTTTGTTTTTCATATTCTCTAATTTCCATATATCTAATTGTTTCATTGGTGCAACTGATAATGATAATATATACTTTTTGAAAACAAACAGAACTTTCAATATTTTGCACTCACAGTACTAGGCACATACCCCCTTAACTCTCAGTAAATATGTCAAACACTTTTGCCCCTCAGAGTGTGGAAAGGGAGAAGCAAGCTTCTTGAACTTACGGTGAATCTCTTTTTCAGCCAATGGCATTTAGTGTTTGTGATTAGATTATTTCTTTCTCAATCAAAACTTAATGAACAAAGTTACTCTTAAATTATTTACTTAATTGGATTATTCAATAGACTATAGATATAAGTCCATTTCTGTATAGGTTGTGTTTTGTGGAAATGTTCGTCATGGAGTTACATTGTTTCACAGTGATTTTTCATCTAAAAGTAACACGGCTATTTGATGTACAGATTTTTTAATTTACTTCAAAACAGTCCTGCATTACAGCATGTTAAGGCATGAGTTCTATTTTCTCCCCCGTTTAAAATTCCTAAAATACACTGAGTCAATACTGTTTTTGTCAGCAGTGTGTTTTGTGATAAACCTCTTTTGTTGAAGATGAAACAGATTAGAAACTTAGCGCCTTAGTTATCTTCTTGTGATCGGCACAGAAACCAGAATGTGGCGTTGTGCTTTGAAAGCAACTCTCCATTTGCCACATAGCTGGGATGAAGGACTAGATACGTGAAGCAAAAGCATTCCGTGGAGCAGTGAGAAGAATGTTACCCAAGAAAAGCTTTCTAGAGTTAGGAGGATAGATATTTGGGTCAATGTCTCCCCTGAACTGAAATTTTTATCTGTAGCTCTGCACTGAGTATATTGGCAAATGATAAGTTCTTTCTATTGTAATACTTTGTATACTGACAGATAGTTACTACATTTATTGTGGTGAGCATTTTGTAATGTATGTAATTGTGGAATCACTATGTTGTACACCTGAAAATGTAATATTGTATGTCAACTACATTTCAATTAAAAATAAAGAAAAAAATATAAATTCTTTTATATACTAATCACAAATGCATTTTTTATTTTTAGTTTTATTTTTGTAAAATACAAAGTTAACACCAGTGCAATTAAGTTAGCGAACCATAATTTAGGCTCATTCACGCATTCCCATCTATCCATTGAACAACTATTTGTTGAATGTTGGCTCCCTGAAAGGTTTGGAGTCAAGCTTTAGAAATACCATGATGAACGAGAAAAACTAGTCCTTATCTTCATGGAATTTACTGGCTAGTGAAGGAGATAGGAAATAAATAAAAATAGTAAATTGATACTACTTGTGATAAGTTTTATGAGGGCAGTGATTTTTGCCTGTCTGTTCACATTTTAGAAACTGATTAATTAGCTGGCATATAATACAAAATGAATGAATGGGTGGATGAGTGAATAAGTTGGATAAAGGAGGTCTGCTTTTGCAGAGGGGCCAGAATTGTGGGGGCAGGTGACAAGCAAACCGTAATAGTGAGCGCTGTGTGCCTGGCATGAGGGAAGGGGAGGTTGTGCAAGGACTGAGAAGGAGGATCTTTGGGCTTCAGAATTTAAGTAGTTTGGAGGATTCTAAAGGAACTAAGCAAGGTTGCTATGATCCACATTGCATTTTAAAATACTATAGTTTCTTTCATGAGTATTTTATAGTTTTCTGAGTACAGATCCTTTGCCTCTTTGGTTAGATTTATTCCTAGGTATCTTATGGTTTTGGGTGCAATTGTA